TGTAGCAGGAGTGTGTAATTCACTGTTTCTCTATGAAGAGAGGTACTGAAAGTCACGCACTTGCTTCGTCAACGCTGTGGCTGCAGCCAGGCAAGACTCAGAGCTCAGCTTGGAAGCCCCATAGCTCTACTAGCAGGGCGCCAAGCCAAAGCTAACGTGCGCTGCGCACTGGAGAGGATGGCCCTAGAGTGCCCAGGGCAGGGACATCTGGACACTTCGAGCGCCTACTCCAATTTACATCAGTGCCCAAATGGCAAGGTTTGAGGAAATAAATGGTGGATTACAAAATATATCTTAGCATTTAGTTGGCAGCAACACCAGGAACCAGAAAGGTGTTTTCTGGGTTAACTAACGTATGCAGCCCTCCAAATGAATGCAATCCATGACTTCTCAGGAGTTGTGATTTCAATGATAGCTTTTTAAATATATGCTTTTTACCTTCTGTTAAGATATAAATTATGTTTAATATCTAATAAATGCCTTTGCCTGAAGCCTTTTACATTATTTAACAGCCTCTCAGTTTTATCTGTGGTGGCTTGGAATGAAATTTGATCCTGGCTACATGCTTAATAATAGTATGATAAGTACAATGTTCTCACTCCACCACAAAACCTCTGAACAACAATTTTCTACCTGCAGTATACTTTCATTGTATATTTTAATGGACCCTCAACTTCTTATCACATCTCTTCATTTTTTTTAGGAATGAGAAATCACTTTAGACAGAAAATGTAAGAAATCTTTTCAAATTCTCTGTCCTCTTCCACTGGACAAATACTGATCTTCCTCCTCACCTATGTAATAAGAATAGTAATAATATTTGGTATCATCATTCTACTTCAATTGCACTGAGGTTCTCAGAGAAATAGATTACAGACAGTTGTACTAATCACTACACTAAAAAAAAAAATTACACAAAGAATTCACAGTGTGGAATTTCACTTAGGTCTTAATTCATCAAGTGTTACAGCAATGTCATTGGAGTTGCTTAGTCTCACAATGTGTCAAACAGACATGGATTCTAGTAACTTGCTAAATCAGGGTCTTAAAAGACTAAACAGGAAGAATGAAACTGGGATCTTTATAAAAATATAAGAAATGTTACTGAAGCATCAGCTCTAGAAGAATAAAGGAGAGGTATAACAGAAGATACTTTACCTTAATCAAATATACTAACTTCAAAAACTGAGACTAGAATGGAACCATTCAGCTTAACAGAAAGGCTTCTCTGACCAATCCTAGTTAATGTAAAATAAAACTATGTTCATTAAAATCCTCAGTCATTCTGCTAAAGCAGGTTAGACATATATCTTCAGTCTATTCATGAAATAAGCATACAAAAGGATATATAGTCTCAAGTAAATGAGGAGATACAGAAACCAGTATCTTTTATCCTTTGATCTTCCATTTTCAATCTGAAAACCATCTTTTCTTGAAAAGAGCTCAGCTTGTGGCAAATTATGATTCTGTAATTGGGAAGCAAGGTTCTACAAGAAGCGGAATCTGATAATACCAACAAGTCTTTTAAACAGTCTGAACTCTATCAAAAAAACACAAAACGCATGAAGAAATTAACACTCTGATTGCTATCAGAGTAAAGAAAGCCAAGCACCCTGGGGAAAGGAAAAAGGAATAACAAAACTACTAATAATCAGAAATTGTTTGTATACTATTTCCCAACAGATTAGTTTGCTCACATTTCAAACCAAGCCTGGTGAGACAAACTTGCCTGTAGCAATACGGATGCAATACAGGAACTGTTTTGACAGGCTGAGAACTGTAGATTTTTATTTTCCTCCTTTTCTCTGTATTTTCTAGAGAATGTGTATTCTGCTAGTACATCATTTCAGGTTTGTCAGCCGGGATTTATTTAGAGGGTAGAACAAATCACTAACACAGAAGCCTCATCACAAAACTTGTTAGAACACAATGCTTTGGGAAACTGTGAAATAGGGCAGCTTGTTGAATTTCTGGAACTTGCACAACATGGAGGAAAAGGGATCAATAAGTAACACTATGAGAATGGAAAAAAATGAAGAACAGTGCTGGCTGCTATGCTAGCCAGTGTGGATAGGTATCTGGAACACAGAGCACTGCATTGGCAGCTCTTTGCACAGGACAGACTGCAACCATCAAACCAGCATTTTTTAAATTTAGTGTCCAAGGAAGAATACAGTCATTTGAGTCCTAGTCACTAATATCCGAGCTGTTAGTTATTCCATCATTTATGCCCAAGTACATGAATTAAAGCATCTTTGTGCGGTATACACTTAAAGAGGGATCTTGTTACTCTCTGAATTTCACTTTTTATCCTTCCTAGTCTAAGCATACGAGGGAGTTACAACAACCATATAACAGTCTAAGATCATCCTTCATCAGATCTCACTGGACTATGCAAAAACCTGTAGACACCCATTTTGTAAATTCTGGAGAAACACTAAAAATTCTGATTGATATATAATTACCTCCAAGGTAATTAGGTCAGGACAGCCTTTTGGTAAATGTGCATTGAGAAGATAAAGACATAATCAAATGCCATTCTGCCTCACGCTCCCAGCTGTACACATACTCAAATGAATGGGCACATTTGCCGTGCCATGCAGCTGTCTTGGCACATTCTGAAGACATCAGCAAATCTCTTATGCCAGTTGTTCCAAATATTTCCTTGTAGGTACCTTTATTTGGTAATAACACATTACCTCTGTCCTCCTAAACCTTATTTCAGGGAGTTACATAGAAATACAATAAAGAACTATTTCCCACAGCTTTATGAATATGTTTGAATAGGCCAAAAGTCTACAATCTGTTACGTTCCACTACTAATTTTAATGAAAGAAACTAATTCTAATTAGCATTTTGTATTGAAATGGGAATAGCAAAGTTCACTAATTTTATTACCTGAGTGAATGATTCCTGGTTAGATCTGGTTGACGCTCCTGTAGAATTTCAAAGATATTGGGCTGCCGCAAAAATGCGACAATCTTGTCGTTGTAAGCTGAAAACATCAACAAAAATATGCTGAAACAAGCAGATACTAAAAGACAGGACTGCATTCCTTCTGAGTTTTGAACAATAATGACAGCAGACTTTATGTTCACAGTTTTAAGTTTAGCAATATTGTGTTAATACTTCTTCATGTAAGGCTACCGATTCTACTATCATTTAGGGAACACACTTCTTGATTATGAACCAAATCTCATTGCGACACGTCCTTCCCACTGTTAACAGCTCAAATTCTGTTAGCAATTTCCATTATATTTTATCACTCACACTCTTAGCTAAGGTCAAACTAGAATATTCATTGCTAGAATAAAATTGCAGGGACCTTGGTTTTCACTGCACTGAAATCCATTCTCAAACATTAAACATGCACTGGAAACAGCCATACCAAATCCTCACTAATTGCTGAGCCTGCAGCGTATGCACACCATGTCCACGGCAAGGGGAAGGATTTAAATTAGCAGAGATTTTCAAGTAAACATGCCACAGTACAAAGAGCCAGTTACAGTCAATCGGATTAATTTATCTTGATTTAGCACAATGTGACAGCTGTTAGATTCAATAAGCTAAATTCTGTTCTTGGTGGCACAGAAGTCAGTAACTTTGTGTGTATGTAACTGAGAACAGAAATTAAGCTAATGACTAATTCCAAGCTGATTAACACTTTGTGGAATGCTGCCAAAACAGATCCTCAGAAGTTGTACAAAAATCACTTGGAATACATGGAGTCCAATTAGGACACAACTTGGTTCACTGCCTTCAACTCTTCCTGTCACCACATAGAGTAAGTGAGCTAGGATGGTAGAAGTTTCACATCGGTTATTAGGTTCTGCACAGACAGACTTCTCAGTACTACTCCTGCAGGCTGCAACTGAACAACTGGGAAATGTTGATGGACAGAACAAATGATAACTTCCACCCACCCCAACCAAATGAAAAACCCAGCAGTGCACACTAACATGACACACTCAGTCACAGAGAACTTCTCTGAAAAGAGGGTGTATGCTGACATACCCACTGGAACCACATCCTGGTACTGAGCTCTGCTGACTGTATTAAATGTGCTAGACGGTCTTGGCAAAACTGGTGGTCCTGAATGACGGGAATCCTCTCCAACCTGCAAACGTGCAAGTCACACAATGACTGTCTCTATGCCAGCATATACATTCGGGTACATAAGCATGAGAATAATCATATGACTTAAAACTAAGCATGTAAGTAAATGCTTTGCTTGATCACTATACTCAGTAACCACTGCAGCAGGAATCAGCTGTGTTGTATGACAGTTATTAGTAAAACATTGTTTAGTATACTGTGCCTATTAATACCAAGAATCAAAACTGATTGAAAGTTTATGGCTATTTTAAAATAATAGTCCCATTCTGAAAAGGGACTAAAAAATTCAAACTGGGATTCCTTCGGAGGGTCTTTTGTACTTCATAGACATCTTTATCCATATCAAAGGTTCTGAAAATCAAATTCTGCTCCTTCATTAGCACCTCTATTACCTCTGTGTCTGAATGGAGTTTCATTAAATTTGAACTGGAAACAATTTTGTGGCTGAAGCAGGAGGATAAAGAAGCAAGTTCACATTCAGGCAAGGCAAATGAGTCCAAAACTGGGAAAAATGTTTCCTAGAATCGTCCAGTAAAACTGTTCTGATTTTTTTGTGTTCACCTTCTGGGATTAAAAAATGTTGCATATGAACATTTTTCAGGGTAGAACCACAATGTAAAATTGTTCCTGGTAGCATCTGTGATGTCAGGGCAACTTCTGCAGTTGTTTGTGTGCTGAGGCTTCAGTCATTTCTACAGTATCAGTATTTTGTATTTTATCTATACAAATCATTTTGTTCAACCTCTTTTTCATCCTGCTGAACCTTTATGTTTACTTCTCAGTTCCTCTGCCTACATGTAATGGTTAGCATTTGAACTACACTTCCAAGCTTCAGAGATTTCCAAAACATCTTAACTGCAAAAGATCAGAGAGCTATAAAGGTTGTTTATAAACCCAGGCTCTGAAATCACGAAGAAGCAAAAGTCCTGAGGTATCTCCCAAGATCTTTGTGCTCTCTGATAATACTCTCTCAGAAAAGTGAAAAATTATTTCCTGTAGGCACTGTGCTGGAAAAGGAATGCCATTATTATCAGCTCCAGTTTCATGCTGCAGTTCCGCTTTAGCTAAAAAGGCATTCCTTACACTGGTAAATGTTTGCTTTAGAGCATCTCCTTGTAAAAACGGGGTCAGTGGCTTCAAAACAGTAAAGTTCATGGCAAAACAAATCCAAAGAAAGTATTTTGAGAATTTTTTTCATTAAGTATTCACCTTTTGCAATAATGTACAGTTCCTTGCAATGGTTTAAATGCAATTATTTAAAAATAGGAAAAATAGCTGCAAATATGCAATACTTAAGTCATAAGCGCAGAAGAAAAAAGTGGTGTTCAGATTCATACATATGCATAGAAATGAACATCATTACATCATTAATTCCAGAATAAGAATACTGTATTGAATTGCTATGTTTGAAATTCCTATCTGGAATTATACTTCAATTCAAGTTACAATTGTAACAATATCAAGGAAATACTTCTACTGTTACATGTAGAAACACGGTTTAAGGAATTTCATGTACCTAGAAGGAGTGGGAAACTTTGAGAGGTAATCATCCCTGTTTATACGCAATATGATGACTTCCTGTAGGAAAAACTACACTTATTTTGCAGTATTGACAACTTCAGCAGCATGGTTGACATGAATCTCTCTGTTTTAAGTGCAGAGCTTCTGAATGCTGCTTATAGATAATTTCAGTGTGTATTTCGTAAAGTTAAGGAAAAAAATTATTTCTGCTCTGTTATAAATCAATCACAACAGAAATACTTGCTTCACCCTATCGAAGACCTAAATAGCTATATGAAGACACTTCTAGCTTCCTTGCCTGCTGTAAGACATCGTTGCCTACATCACATCACCAAATTGACGGAAAATGCTATTTAAAACTATTTGTAAAATATACCTTACATTGGGGGTGGAAAGTATCATGGGTGACTAAACCATGTTCAGACAGGATATGAAAAGATACGCAGCCAGTGGTATGGCACTCGCTGCAGTTCAGCGGAAGTCCTGCTAAAGAAGTGGCAGAGAAGATTCATACTTGCTCTGAAACAGACCTCTGGCAGAACTTCATCTGCCGCAAGACTGAGCTATAAAAGGGTTAAATCAGAGCATTTCTCTCACCATTCTAAATTGTATTACCTTTAATTGCTGGCATGGAATAGCCCTCCCCTGAGAAGACAACTTACAGATAACAGTATGGAAGTTAAATAAAGTACAACTGAAGTCTAAGCCATTGTACATACACTTGCTCACAAGTAAAAAAGAAGTTACAACAACATGGAGACTGACGGTGAAAATGGTCCACAGCGACGTATGAACAAAATAGGTGTTTTCCATGTATTTGTTTAGAAAGTAAGAGACAAAATACATATGCAAATGTATATAACAGTCTGATAAGCCTACACGTGGTAAGATTTTTTTTATACTTACTCGGAAAGTTGCACATCTAGATGTATATACAACACATGCACTTTTTTCCCCCCTCTTATTTGCAGAGTATATCAACGTACTTGGCAGACACCATGCTAGACAACAATACACATATTTTGACAGCAAAAGACAGGATATAGATACTGGTAATCTGTAATCAGATGCTCTCCTGTCATTAAATGGGGTTACTGCAAATTAAATGTAAGAGAAACTCATGTCTGATATTTTTCCTCTGAAATCATGCATTTCAAAAGCAACAATGGCTAGCAAATAAAATCATAGATCTTTACAGATGAGTACCGTATGCTTACAGAAGCATCATGCTCCTCACAACATGGAATTCTGAACAGAGGATGAAAGAGGATGATCTTAAAAACCCAGTGGTTCCTGAAGAGAAGGGGCAGATCCTTACCTCACCAGCGCTGTGGCTGCGTTGTCTAGTTAAGTGCTGCCGATGGACTAACGCACTAGTGGGCCGGCTACTCTGCAAGGGAAGCCGGGGGTCAATGAACGTTGTTGTGCGGGAATTGTGGTCAACGAAGAAAGCCTAGAGAAGGAGAAAGAAGAAAGAATCTATAGCCAATACTTTTTTTTTTTTAGCATGCCTGAGGTTAATGTCTGTTCAGGATCTAGGTTTCGTTTGCTGATGTGAGGCTTGGAAAATCTTCCTCACATTTCTGTAGCTTGCATTTCCCTTCAGCAGAAGAGGGATAACGGTTTTCCATCTCACTGAAGGGATGACTTCTTTAATGCCTTACCTCATTCCTGTCTATAAAGCCCTTTGAAATTCTCATCTGACAAGCATCAGAAGTAGGAAGCTTTGTTATGATTGTCAAGAAGAGAAGACTTAAATCTTTAATAAAAGTAATCCTGGTGTATTCTCCCTTTCATTTCCTTATAAGCATCTGAAAAGATGTCATTAAATGGCAAAACCATTCCCTTTTGTGAACTATTTACCATATAATTATGAACACAATTGGGTGTATCTATGTCAAGTGTATGACTGCATCCTGTGATAAACTATGATTACAGGCCAACAGGCATTTTTGTCATCCTCCTGATACAATTATTCTAAGTTTGCTAACCTTTAAAAACAAACAAACAAAATAACCAACAAACAAAACCAAAAAGAAAGGTCAGTCAGGAGCACAAAGATGATGGCAACAAAAACATTTAAACCAGGCAACCGTTGAGAACTACCACATACTGGCCAGTCAGCCATTTGCTGAAAGCAAGGTCACAGGAGCATGTATCCTGGAAAATGCAAACCTCCTACAAATCTGTCCAATTTGAACCAAAAAGGTTTCTAAGCCGTGAAATTTAAACTTTTTCCAGTGTTAGTGTTGCACTTGGAAACCAGCACTGTTCTATTTCAACACACTTCGCTTTTTTTCAGTACAATGCTGGAAACACGTGGAAGTGGCAAAAAAAGATCCTGGTTTTGAGCAGGAGAGTTACAGGAAAGTGACATCTGGTTTGAGGAATCAAAGAATCTGGACAGCAAAGAGGTGGTCGGGGACTGCGGGAGCCATTTCTATGTTTGGATACCAGTGAGGTACTTTGACCACAGTTTCATAAACAATTCAGTCCTGCAGTGTCAGCGAAAGAAACATTCTCATCTTCCCCCATCCTGACCACTTGTTTCATCCCTTGCGCACCCTTCCTGCCTTGTGCTGGCACAAGTGTTTGTGTAGCCACACAGTGAACCCAGCTGGGGAGCTGGTCCAGGCTAAAATTACTCTCTGTTTGTCCCTTTCCTCTAACCTTGGTCAGCCCACCAGGGACGAGAGGAGAGCAGAGCTGGCTCTTTTGGCAGTGACACCAGCTTATAGTATTCATGAAATCATTGTTTCAGACTGCTTGGTATAGCCAGACCAGGGAAAATGCAATTCTTCTGACTGCTGCAAAGGTAGGTAGACAAACCAGTGTGTCAGGCTATACAGCAACTAACTACCATTATGGATTGTGGTGGGAGAAAACGCTCATACTTCTATTTCCCAAGGAAGGAGAAGCATATGGAGGGACACCAAAGTTACAAAATCTAAGAAATGCTCCAGAAGAGGGCAGCAAGCCTCCTACAGCACTAACCGCGATTGCCTGTACCTGTAACCTGTGCCTACAAGCAAGGAATCACATTACCTCAACAGTAAGGAAGAACTCTGTTTTGATCATCTGACATAGTTACAGATATGCAAGTGAAACTGACTGTTCCACGATTCAAAAACCATAACGTGTATTCAAAAATGCAGTTTTAATTGCAATGTTTGAGCCTGATGCAGGACTTGTTCACCATGACAAATAATGATGCCAACTGCAGTGCAAGTATACAGATTAGAGAATATGAAACCAGTGGGAAAGCAGAATGAAAGCCACTGTGAAATTTCAGGTTTGGGCCTGGAAAACGACTGGAAGAGGCTGTTGGAACATATCCAGGCTTTCTGAAAATTTTGCTCTTGATTGATAGGTTTATTTCACTTACTAGCAAGTGGTTGGTATAGGTTTTTTTTAATGTCCCTCTATCTACTATTATATCTAGTCTGGTCAATGTGTATTTAGAAGATGGGAAGCACTTTCATCAAAACAAAGGTTGATTTCATTAAGTCAACATTACACTGTAAATTCACTTAGGAAAAAAAGGTACTGATTCAATATAGGAGAAAGTACTACCCAGAGTTGTGCTACACAGTTCTTTGAGTTAATGCAATCTAACATTGCATGTAGTGTTCTTTAGCATTACATTTAAATAACTCAGTTTAAACACTAAGTTAAAGACAATCATGTCTTACTAAATATGAATGCTTGCAGGCCAGCTAGTAGCAGCCTACTTTAAAATAAAGCATAAATTACTACTTTGAAGCATCAGTGAAGATAATCATTGGAGCTTCAAGGCCTTGTGCTAATCTGGACATTGGCACACAGCTCAAAATACAGTGTGGCTCAGTCGCCTTTCAAAAAAATTCCTCTCATAACTCCTGTCTAGCTATAATCCATAAATCTATGATGCTTGAAAAGACTGACATAAGATGGGTAGTGCCAAAACTACATTTAGCCCATTAAACACAGATAGTTGCCCAAGTTATCCTTCCAATTACAGTCTATGAAGCTTGCTAAAATACCTTTTCTTCATATTGAAGACATTAGTAATCAATTACAATGGATTCTTTCATTGTGGAAAGAAAAACCAAAAATGTCCTACAATAACTTATTATGTATTTGTACATCTTGCAGAGATCTAATTAAAAAGTATATACATTTGCATCTGGCTTTAAAATATGAACATGTGCTTACACATATTGCACAAATGCACTGGGGTGCTTATCTGTATAATACATGTGTGTATGCGTGTGTATGCAGCAATGCAAAACTTCAAAGTTATCAGACAGAATTCAGCTCAAGGACCTATCTAGCTTATATGATGCGTCCTGCTACCACCTTTTTCAATGGTCTTCTGCCTCCCTGTGGTCAGTGGCTGATGAAGATTCATCTGTAATGCCAATGAGAAACAACATCCTAGTTACCTTTTAGGGAGACCTGCATGCCAAATGGATTTTATCTTCTGTAGGGGATACATGGAGGAGTCAAAGAGTAGTGGGCAACTGGGCTTTGCTGTGCAGCTTTGAAGGGAGTTCAGAGGTAGGCAGTCCCCAGCTGACCTTGGAGGACAGCCTGCAAAGCGGACAAGCAACCAGGACCACACTGGCATTGGGGAGTAAAAACTCTACCGCTCAGCACTGTGTAAGGGTCAGAACGACCACCGTGCCTTGTGAGCAAGAGCACCAAGATTCTTACTATGATATACTTGGAAAAATACATACTCTCCCCATCTCAGCAGGGAAGAGTAGCCAGTGAAAGAAAATATAATTATATATTGTGGCATGGCTAATTTCTACTTGCTTCTCTTTAGCTTTATACTTTAATAAAGGCAGGTCCAGTTTCAGTTTGGTCTCGCCAAGCACTGGTCTCACCACGTACTGGCCATCATCTCTCTTGAGTGCTGAATAGGCTTTTCTACTGCCCACAAGTGCTACTTGTGACAAAGGCAATTCAACATAATGAAAATGAACAATACTGAGCCTAATTCAAAGTGAAGAAATCCCAGTGGGGATTTATTCAGTGCTTCCTCTTGTTGATTAATGTTGTGGAAGCATCACTGTTAACAAATACTACACCAGAAATCCAAAGGTCTAGTTCTCTCTATGGAGTGCCTATTAAAGTCAATTGAAAATTGCTGTATTCTTCAGGAGAAAACTGGCCTCTGAAGAACTGAACAGAAAAACAATGACTTAAAACAGGAAAAAGAGTGAGACACGCAAAGACCTAAGTTAGTATAACTGCACATTCCTAATTGTTTTTCTAATGAAAAAACACAGTGCTTTCCAGATTTGTTAAAGCCAAGAAGAAAACAACCCTCAAGCACTTTTTCTACCCTTCAGTTTAGCATCTGCCTGTAATCTTTTCAAGCATCAAGATCATTATTTATATGGACACTCACAGCTAACTGTACCAAGACAGATAAACGTAAGAACTGAGAAGCTTAATATGCCTGGAGTCCTAATTAGGACTTCTCACATGAACTGATAGCCTTATCACTTCCTCACATGCTAATCATAGCCTATTTTTAACCCTCCTATCTTCCACAAAGAAAATCATATTCTAGATAGTGAAGATACACTAGTATAAAGTTACATTAAAATTATGTTACTACTATAAAAATGTCTGTTCTTTGATTTTAAAATATTTTGTTAGAAATTGAAAAGTGATATCTGTTTTGAAAAGCAGTAAGACTTGCAACCATTCAAGATCCCCATTAATGAAACCTATGACACACAATTTCTTTCCTGTTAACCAATACATAACCAATAGAGTGATCATCCCCAGAGCTATCCCAGTCTTAAGTGCACCCAATTTATATCAGAAACTGATGAATACCAGACCCACTTAGCATTTGGGTAGACGACTCACCTAGAAAACGGTTAGCTATTAAAGAAAAAAAATGCAAATAATGCACACTAAGGAATCCCATTCAAGCCTTTGAGGTTGAAGGGGGGGGGGGGGGGAAGCCCTAAGGAAAAGCTTGACAGTTAAACAAGAAAAAACTAATACAAATGGTTCAACAATAAGTAAATAAAATTCAGTAATAATAAAGTAACTTTACACCTAAATTATCTTATGAGTACACATTCAAAACTCCAAAGAACTTCACTGAACAACTTATATTTACACAGTAGATAATTCTTGTCAAAAGAAGTTTTAAACATCCAAGGGAATCTAAGCAACTTCTTTCATTGTAAAAAGGCTACAGATTTTTTAGCACAGATGAGAAATTCCAATCTTCTTTTGGCAAAAGCAGGAGAAAAGGATGCGCACCTTTTACAGTTGGAGAACTACGTGCACTTACGCTCATTAAGAGCGACCAACTGAGTCCTGACATCGCAACATCCGCTATCAAGCACTCAAAAGAGCCACATGCGCATTAGTTACCTTGCCCTGATGGTCATGTTTCATTTCCCAACCTCTCGGCAGCTCCAGCTGTTTGTTAGCAAACATGTTGAGGAAGCCCACCAAATCACGATTATGCTGGTAACGTTCAAAATGGTGGGTGTCCCGCCGGACTTTGGTGATCATGTGCTTCAAACACGTGTTATTTGTAAACATGCGGTAGGCACTCTGAGAAATAAATAACAAAAGGAAATGTTTTTAAAAAATAAAATTTCTTCTTACTACAAAAGACAACATTTACACTGTAAATAAATCATTAATCATCTATAAAACCTTAAAAATTATCTCCAACTAGGCCACAATGGTATGCAAAAAATGGTCCTCTTTCTGAGGTTTTGTGATAAGAGTTTGATGTTTCTTACTTTGCTTGAGATATAAAAAATTTCATAATTGACTCACTTCAGCAGTGTGAAGTATATTACAGATTCCATTTACCACACTTGTCCCTGGAACTGTGAAGAATTCTATAACATTAAAATTGCTTTAAAAGTAAAGATTTCACAGATATTTTCCAGTTTCTGGAATAATGAGTCAAATGCAGTCATAGAATACAGCAATAAAGCTGGTAAAGTTTTCTGCAGGACAGAGATACATAAGCTTGTAGAACTTGTCACAAATCTACATAAATATTGTTTCCACCTATTGATTTTTCAAAAATACCCTATCATTGCATGTCCATGTGTAATTTATGTAATAAAATTGAAATAAGAAAGTAAAAGGAGAGCACCGAAAAAGAGGGAAAAATTTAAATAAAAGGGCTAAAATAAGCAGTTAACGCCCTTCCCTCCAAAAAAACCCAGCAAACCAGAAACCAGGTCATTCTCTCAGGATTAGCAATAAACAGAAGCCAAGACATAGGCCCTCCTATTGCACTGTACTGCTGCCTAAATCACTCTATGCCCCTACACCTCTACTCCCTGGCCAGAGGTCTTATCTACCTCTGTCCTATTTCATATATTCAAGATAAAGCTGTGCAAGCTAAGCAGAATTATTCAGATACAGACAAGCATATATATATATCTCTCAAAACCAAACTAACACTGACCAGTAATTGAAAAAACACTGAATTATTAACAGGGGTACCTGCAGACAATAAATTATTCATTCCATTACTTCTGTTTACACTATACTTCCCATTACACAAAGGAAAAGAAACACTGGAGAAAAAAAAACTATATAAGCAGCAGCACTGAAGAATAGGCAAAACAGAAAAGGAAAATATATATTAAGATGCTTTTTTCTTCAGTGTGACCTCTAATATATTTTGATATAAACCAGGCAATCTGGGTGAAACAAATCATCCCATAAGCTGCAAAGTTATCTTAAAAAATAAGCACCATTTTTGTACTCAGAATTGTCTCTCACCCTCTGCAAAGCACAGTAAGAAAGCTATTGCTTCAATAAACAAATGAGTTTTGTATCATAAGAAAGATGAAGAACTGAGTTAAAGAATAAAAACTGTAGAAGCTCTAATGCCAACTAGGACAACTCTGATGCCCACCAATTGCAAGGAATGATGATGAGTGTGTGCATTTATCCAGCCTCCCTATGTACTACCAATATCTTTGCATCAAACACTGAGCAGTATCTCTGTACACAAGACAACTATACTTATAAGCACGTATTTATGAAAGTCTTTCAGCTGTAGATGCTATACTCACAGGGTTAGAATGCAGCACTGTAAAGAACTCTGGGCTGATAAGGAATTTCACAGGGGGAGACTGGAGCAATAAAGTAAGTCTGGATCTGGAGGTAGAGTGAGGCAGCACATTCTCTCTTCGAAAATCTAACAGCAAAGTGAATGACAAAGACTTCCAGTAATAATCATTACCAAAACATCACTGCAAACAATATCGATCTGAATCACACAAGCAAGAAAAGCACTAGGTATACAATTATTTCAGATGTATTAAGTATTCTCCACGTAAGTGTACCTGAATTTCTTCTAACATAGCACTGAAGTTCCTGAAAATAGCGCAATTTTAGTTTAGTAAGTTTTACTTGTTGCTTTTGGTGAACAATCACTACAAAAAAAAAAAAAAATCATGTCCAATTATTTGGGTTACCAAACACGTGCCTGTATATAAGGTGCAAGAAGGTCCCTGTGGCAAGCCTACATTGCTATACTGTAGCTGTATACAGATAAGTTATTTTTTAAATGCTAACTAATGGATATAAAAGTCATTGTACACTTAAAAATGTTTCATTCCTCCTTTAAAAAACCCACAATAAATCATTGCCATTAACACCCAATCCTGATATTGTATTTAAGCAGCTTATGTAAGAAACAGGTTGCCAAGGAAGTACCTTTCAAGTTTCAACTTTCAGTAAACATTTGGGTCTTCTCTAGCAACTTTGAGAAGGGCACTGATTTTTCAAGGGTACCAGAAACTGAAAATACGTTACGAATGGTATTTGCTACAATGTTAGAACTATTCGCCCCAATTATCTCTGAAAATCAACAGGACATTTGGATGCGTATTTTAATGTAAATGAAAAATTGCAAATTCAGATTGGGTCTGCAGTGATTTTACTCTAAAATGTATGCCATCTTCTACATTTCACAGTTTGCTTCTTTTGCATATTGCAGTATTTGCACACTTCCTTGTCAAATGAACATTAATCATGTAGAACACAGCTACCATGGAGATAAAAGAACATAACCCAGCGGCAGAGAAAGGAGAAGAGAGGCAGCGAATCAGACTCTAAACTGAGGGAAAAATAAGAAGAAATTGGAAAAAGAACAAAGATGGAGTAAAATTGTAAATGTGGATGGGTAAACATTATGGAAAACGGAATGGGGAAAATAAAGATGTTCATTCTAAGCATTACAGGAAACCAGAAAACAGAAGGATAATAAGTAAAGGAAAAGTAAATGAACAAGAGGATTTTTAGAGACAGTTCTTAAACAATAGACCCCAAGCCCTCCCACACGAGGCATGTCTATGGAGCAACAGCAGTATAGCAAAAAGACCCCTGAAGCTATGCCTGAATACTTGGGCTGGGAGTGTCTTCCAGGCATGCACTGCGGTTGCATGTCAACTCTGTATTGGTACAAAACTTGGGTGTACACCAGTCACTTCTCACACCCTGGAAGATGTTGTGAAATGCTGCAGATAGGTCCACTGTCATAGTCTGGGCAATCTAGAAACCAGAACAGGTCACCAGGTGGGTTTTTCTTGCAGTTTAGAAGCTTATGAATTTGATTTATGAAAAGCTTATTCAGCTGAACTTGCTGATTAGGGTTTAGCCTGAATTTGCTTTAAACCTATTTGTTTACAGCACAACAAACCATCTAGCTCCACATGCACATGCACAAAGATAGAAAAGGAAAAGGCTACAGCGGAAGTAAAGAAAAAAATATAAATGGAGCACTTGGCTAAATCACAAGTTCTACAATACTTGAAACTCAAGAAAGGGTGGCATTGCTTGGGTATTAGATTAATTTAGGAAAGAGTATCAAGAAGAATATCAAGAGCATCTAGAGACAAAGTTAAAGCACATAATAACACACAACTATGCAAGTAACTGGATGGGTAACAAACTGTATAAATGTATTAGTAAATTAGTAGTAAGAAGATGACCAAGAAGAGAACTGCTTAGCAAGAGGAAAAACTAGTAATGATGCTTAGAGCTCATTAAAAAGGACCTTTCCTTCTGTCCTCATTGAAAAAGTTAACACCAACCAGACAACCAGAAGAACTAAAAAACAGGAGAAGAAAGAACTTTCTTCTTAGGCTGGAATAATTAAAGAGCAGGTCAAAGACTGGTGCAAATCAGAGGTTTTCAAACCCTTTGGGCTTGAAGAAGTGTATTCTAACACACTTAGAAAACTTGATGAAGCAATCTCTGAGACACTGGTGGTTATTTCAGAGGTGTGAAGGAATTCTCAGACGAAAAGGAATAAATATTATATCAATTTTTAAGAACAGGTGAAAAAGGATGAAGGAAACGATAGATGACTTGACATTTTCTGTTCTCAGACACATGAATTGTCAAACTACTTAAAGCAATGAGAAGACAACAAGGTAGAGAAACACCCAGGATTTCTGAAGAAACTAAGGAAGTTATTTTCTACTATTCGAGTGGTGTAAAGGCCACATATTTTGATGTTAATAAGGCCTTTAATACTGTTTACATGATACTCTCAGAATCATGTTGGGGAGAAAAGTACCTGAAACAGCTGAAATCACCAGGAGAGGGGTATGCAGCAGTTTGCAAAAACGTACTGAAGAGCAGTTATGATTTATGTCAAACAGAAAGAGTACATTATTTTTATTAATGGCTGGATAGGGAGGACAGAACTTGCTGCAACCAGGAGATGCTGCAGTACTTGGGCAGCAGGATGGAAAAGATTCAAAACCACAGTGACACATTAGAAATGTGCAGACCTGTGTGCAGGTAGGAAAAATCAACTGCACAAGTGCCAGGTGAAAAACAGAAATCTGTGCCAAAGATCTGCACATAAGGGTCTGGACCTGATTCTAGAAGGTCTAAGACTGAACACTGGTAGTTATTGTCAAATTATAAGAATAAAAGTAGCAATTATGCAGGAATGTACAAGGAGTGTTGTACGTATGACATGTGACATTTCCGCAATCTCTTCAGTACAGCAGAGTCATAGCTTTATTTCATTTTCTGAAATATTCCTCAGGAGCTTCAGGCCAGCTGAAGACAATCCTGAGGAGGCTAACAAAATAATTGGAGACCTGAAAACACAAGCCATGAGGAAAGATTAGGAAGTAACAGATTTAAGAATGTAAGTGAAATGATATGAGTAGACTGTCTAAAAAAAAGTTGCAGAATGTCCATCAACTGGAGAACATGTTATAAGAACACATGAGATGGCATTTGCCAAGTATGGTTCAGGTACAGCTCATCCTATGTATCTTCAGCTCGGAGATTAAGCCAATGACTGCCCAAAGTCCTTTCTAGTCCTGTATTCTACCATTTCAAAGTGCAGTAGCAGATTCAAAATATTTGTAACCCAGACCACAAAATGTTATACTTTTTCACTGCAAATGTCCTGCCTTTATTTTTACCCAGTCAGGTACTGACAGAAAAATGCTCTGAATCTCACATCCATCTCTTCAGTGTATTGAACACACTGAGCCATAGTCTTCAAAAACTAGGCAGCAATGAAAACAAATGGTTTCATTTTCACCCAGAATTTCAGGGGCAGAAGTTAGGTTCTGCCTCATGTCACTCTCATTAAATCATCTATGAGATGAGTGCTCCCTTTTGAGAGGGGAAAAAAAAAATTCTTTTTTTTTTTAACCTGCGTTAGAATGGTGAAAGTCAGTTTCTTCTCCAGCTCCATCCACGGCATTTGTATGCTCTTCAGGCCTGTCATTAGTCATTGTTCTTCGGATGCTCTGGTACCTAGGGTTAGAAAACTGGTCTTTATATATGGTATATGGTAACTACAATCCAATTCTGGCTCCAAGGGAGCTTGCCCGCCTTTTCTGCCATGTAGGTTAATATACATTGACCTCTAATTTCTGCACTAATAGCCGCCTGAATTTCTGAAAACCATTATCAGATATTTTTTCTTAGCCACGTAGCTTATGAACACAGGTAGAATACGAAAGCCTTGGAAGCCTACATGCAAATTAAAAGGGACAGCCACATAAAAATAAATATATATGGCCAGCTGTGGTAGCAGCTGTGACCCTCTCTTCATACTCAATCTTACAATGGTGAATGCTGTTTTCCAAGCACACAATTCACGAACAACAAGGCTATTTCTTACCGTCGATTCAGCTGTTCCATTTGCTGTATGGAATTTGACCTCTGGAGAATCTGTGGAGCTGGGGGGGCTGTAGGTCGCTGCCATGTTGTTGTCCTGTTCACATGGTCCACATAAAAAATCCGTCCATGGCTGTCAATTCGAGCCTCCCAGTCTAAGTAGCAATAAAATACTGTGAACTATGGAGGGCTTGGGGTTTGTTTGTTATGTCTTTATTTTAGCTCTGTGACTTTTATAACTAAATCTTTTGTTTCAAGTTTCTATTTCTCTTTTACAGGATGACTTCAGCACAGACCTTTCTTAATGAAGGGTTAAGAGACATGGTTTTTCCCTATTTTATCCCATAAATCAAATTCCTCACTATAGGTAAGGTTCTGTGGAATCAATATCTAATAATTTCTATTCCCTTCTCTATTCTATTTCCCACTAATCAGTAATTGTCCCAGGAAAAAAAAAAAAAAAAAATCAGGATACTTAGTCTAATTCTCTTGGACTGAAGCAATTCAAGGTCCAATCTCTGAGGCCTATTCCAGTGCAAAAGGCCAATGGGCAAGTACCAAAAACCTTGCAAAGCTTGACACCTGTCATTGTTTTTCCCCAGCTAATGGTAACAGTAATAAAATAGATGCCAGTGCTCTTCCTGGGTTTACATGGACCTACGTTGAAGGTAAGCAGACCTGCCAGAAAAGATGGAAAATTGTAACAATAAAACTCCTTCATATACTAAATGCACGTTCCAGAATTGTAGTTTATGCAAATATCAGCAAATTCAACTTCTTGTGCAAGCGGTAACTATAAAGCTGTCCACTGGCTTTGCAACGCAAGCTACAGACAGTGTTAGAAGTCTAGACCACAGAGATACCCCAGGACAGCAGAGATGAAGGCATTCGGACCTTTCCCCAACCACATCTGGCTTCTCAGTGCTCAGCAGAAACCAGGTGCATCACAACACCTAGGCCTCAGTTCATAAGCTTTTGGGGTGAGAAACACTGTCTGCCTAATAACTGCTTATAAAATGAGCAAGATACCAAGACATTGATCACAGCTGGGGGGCCACATAATAATAAAAAATAATTACTATATTTTATATACAGAAACAGACATGACTGATTCTTGGGCACTAGCAACTGCAGAAAACTTGCAAACCATTTAGCACATCAGTTGAAAAACAGTCTTGGAGAGCCCAGAAGGTTTCTAGAAGAGACCTTCTATATTGCAAGTCTAGGTGAAAACCATCAGTCACGGCAGTAATATTTTAAAAAACACTGGCAAGCAACCAATCCTAAATGACCACCGCTCCCCGAGGAAAGAGGGCATAAAAATGTCTTGACAGCAGAGAAGGAGAACTGAATTCTACTGTATTTAATACTGACAGCCTTAAAACCTCAGGCTTTGTTACTGTATGTGTACTATGACTTCTGTCAACTCTTGGCTGCCTCCAAGTGGCTTGCTGCGTTACACTGTAGGGCCCCGAGTTGACTCACGAAGAGGGAGGAAAGGCAGGTTTTGAGATAAACTCAGTGTGTCATCTCCGCACAACAGCTGTATATTTTAGCTGGCCACAATGCAAATTACTCTTCTATCTTTACAATGCACAATCAAAACAGCCTATTAGTGTTTAAAGCATTTCTAGTGTGAACAAGAGCTATGTAGGAAAGCAAGCTCAGAGGAAGAAAAGAAAAAGCAGCACAATAGGATAGGAATAAACAGAACCATTTAAGGAACAAATTTCAATTCCAGAAGAAAAAATTCAAAATTTTCCATTATACTGTAAATTTACAATACAAGTTTAAAAATAAACAAAATTGCATCAATGCAAAGCTTATGGCATAATCACTGTATTTGCTATCAGAAATATAACACAATTGAAAGTTATTTAAAAAAAATTCATTTATATCTCAAAAATGCAAACTGAAACATTTCAACATTCTCTGAAAAACATTTCCATTTTTTAAAAAGAAAAATATGATTGAAACAGATGTTCCCATGCAAAGGTCTCATTTCAAAAAAAGTAGTATCTTCTGATGAAATAAAAATACTCAAAATTTTTAACCAGAGTTTGTAAACAAAACATTAAAGTATTCCAGGAAGGATAGGACTGTTCACTGGGGGAAAAAAAAAAACCACAAACCACACCAGTTTATATTTGTGAATTCATTATTCTGCTTAAATGTCAAACCCTAGGCCACTGTATAATAGTTGACACTTTTCTTGTGGTGATTATATGTCCAATTCTGACACACAGTCACCATTTCTGTAATGTGGTCTTGAAGAAAAGCATTTTTGCCTGCATTCAATTTTAAATACACAAGTTTAAACACTTGGGCAATGGCTTCTAAAGTAAAGCACCTGCATCAGTGTTGTGATAGACAAGGATATCTTTTGTTAGTCATAACGTTGTTACTCAGACGTGTTACAGACAACTTAGCTTGCTGAATTGCAAAAATGTAATTCATCAAGGTTGGGTGGTCAAGTTTATTTGTTGATTTTTCCCTAAGAATGTAGGAATTGGAGCATAATGTTGCATGTTATAGGCAGAAATACTAGATAAATATTTCAATTCTGTCTCTTGTTCTTTAACTTAACCTACACACAACTGAAAGAAATACACTTATTTTTCCTTCTTAGTTTCAGAGTCTGGTAAAACAACAAATAGAATACAACCCAAATTACAAAGAAATTACAGTTTATAACTCAAAATTATATTCTAAACATTTCTCTAATTTATCACTATTAAGATATTAAAACTGTTACATATCTGAAAGCAGAGCTTTGGAGAAAAAAACTGAATCTAGGCAACAATGAGTATTTGAAATTTTATTCACATTAGCAAATGAATGATCTACATAAAGATTGCATTGGGCTTTGATTGTAAAGGAGTGATGTGTATATGCATGCCCATGCATGACTGTGTAAAAATCTCAGCAGATGTCAGAAATGTTAGAATACCACACAGTCAAAGCTTTTCCATTAGCATTCCAATAGTTTTTCCAAGTAGTTATTGTAATGTATAGTTTGCTTCTGAAACATAAAAAGCAATCTATGTATAAACCATGGTATTATAAAAGCTATCTCTATGTATTTCTCATTTGTTATACTGATCTCTGAGTATTTCCCGTGACGTTCTCTGTCTTTTTTAGTATGAAAAGTGATAAAAATGCAACTGAAATATATGTCTCCCAGGCACAATTTTGTAAAAAAAAACACCGTTTTTTTGATGTGGCAGTTAATTAACTTTAGGATCTGCACTCAGGACTGATCTGTTATATGCACTGATTATAACAGAAGCAGCAGGGAGCAAAATCTTCTCATCATGCTGGCTTTCTAATACACAGTTATACCAGTGTTCTGCTATCAGGCTCCTTCCAGTTACCCTCTCCAATTACAGAGCACAGTCCCATTCCATACTGTGAATAAGGATCTATTAATTTTACACTAAATATCTGAATTTCTGAGTCCTTTAAAGTAATAGAGCTTCGCCAAAGACTTCAGTGGGTCTGAATTTAACTTTTTTTTGCTTTTTTGTTTTAAAGTAATGTTTGCCTCTTAGCTGTGTAGCTTTTTTTTTTTGGCCCTTTCTCCTTTCTCTAAATACCTAATACTGAACAGAGTTTCACCGTTCCAAGTTTAAGCAAGTGAATCAGTCCAACAATTGGGAGCAATGTATTTTTCAAATGCGTTAGAGAAATTACAATTTATCTGTCAGTTTAGGCTCATCTAACCGTTGCTTAATACCCAGGTTTATTTTAATTCAAAAAGTCTTCACAGTGCCTCAAAAAATGCAAGGAAAAAACGGACACCTTTCACATAATCTGCAGAGATTAAAGATGTTACATATTTCTTTGTAAATCATCACCACACAAGAAGTATTCAGAGATTTCAGAGTGATTGACATCTTTCCCTCCAAGTTCCTCATCCGTATCACCTCACCTCCCTACCCATGTGCACTGCATACTGAAAAGACAGCACTTCTCCACAAACGTCACTTAGCAAGTCTGTATACGCCAGGCGCAATTATCATAACACATCCTGATAATTTGCACACCAAGCACAATGCCTTTTACAAAACAGCACTAGACTTAATCATCATCACTCCTCACTTAGAACTTTTCAGCTGTTCATTCTCAGTTCTCGCATTTAAAAAAGAAATGTAATGAGATCTCAGTATTGAGATCCAGGCAGCCTATCCCCCAATTAAAGTATGAAGAACCTCACTTGGTGGTAGAGCCTCATCCACTCTCTGGTACCGGCTAACATCCTGACGTACTGAAGGCAGCGACCTCAAGGGCTGATGGCCATTGGCTTGAGAACCTGGAATCAAAATGCCCACAAATTATTTTTTCAGTCAATATGGAGAAGCCTTAGAGTTGCCTCTAAAGTGAACAAGACACGCTAAAGCTTCTGCTGAACTATAGTATTTTAGGATATATCTAATAGTCATCTATTTTGGGGGGGAAAGTAAGTTATGTCTACAGTTCTAGGTAAGTGATTTCTCTGGGATGAGCTGCAGTCCTGGTCCTGAAAATGTCACCTCTTGGGATGTGCCGCATCCACCTGTGACCAGCAGAAGCCAGGGCACAAAAACAACAACATGTGCCTGAGCCATATCCCAGCAAAGGACAAGGACAAAGCTCCACCTGGTCCCTGCAAAAACCTTGCTGTAAGAGTGGGAGGTGAAATTGTCCATTGACCTTCCTTGCTGCAGCCACACTGACCCGCAAAACATGGTACAACCTGACACCTAATAAAAAGAGAGTCCCAAATGTCTAGAAAATACTGTAAAATGAAGTATTGACAGTATTTGAAATAAATACCAAAATTATTCTTTCCAAACAAAAAAGCTGTTTATAAAGAGAAGAAATGAATAGATCCCAAAACTTTTGAAATGTTATAAAAAAGACACATTCAGAAACCCACTTGATTAGATCCATTTCAATCCCTGAAGAAACTGATAATCCATTGTGAAATGTGCTTGGAAACAATCTGTTAGGGACACATTTCTATTTTCAGTGATTTTAGTGAGACACAAAATTCTCAACTGTTAAAATAATTTTACAATTGGTAAGAGTTTTACAGCGTTAACTTGAGTAACACATTCCTCTCCTCCCATGGTTCCAGCTGTGCTAGGATGTGTCTATACAGATAAGGAACTGGGAAAGGGAAGATAAACAGTCTGAAGTATGACTAAAAATTATTCTCTTCCTTTCTTCTTTCCTTTCTTTTGATTACCCTTATGTTTTAATGCTAATATATAAACATGTAAAAGAAAAGACCCAAATATAAATTCTAGTTTGTATTTCATAGTTTGGGGATTTTTGTCCCCCCTCATTACCATTTTGATTAGCAGGCAGGGTAATATTGTAGAATTCTTTACTCCTCGCCATCCTCCTTCTCACTACTCTCTCAAGAATTAAATTATACCCAATTTCAAAATAAATGTCTTGGTTATTTCAGGTCTGATTTTCTGTTAAATCAAAAACCCCAAGAGTCTTAAAGAAGGGAATAAATCTCAAAGGAACAACAACAAAAAAGTATCCTGAAAGATAATGATATTGAGAAATGGAGATCTTTATTTTCAGTTGTTAATTTTTTAAATTATTTTTACTGGCTGCAGAAAAATCACTTCAGAAAGTGCCTCCTGCAGTTGTTACCTCCAGTAGCTCCTTCAACCTGTGCTGTGGCACCTTCACAAGCTGCTTGGGCTCCTTCAGTTTCTTCATCCTGAGACTGGCTATTGGCAGCTGCCACCTGCAGGCTTCTTCTTTGCCAGATTTCTTCTGCTTCCTCTTGGTCTTGTAGTTCACCTGCCTCAGCCTCCTGTACTTCCTCCTGAGGTAAATGTACCGCAGGCAGAGAACCAGAAGTACTTGCAGAGTCCTGTGTTTCAGCACCTGGCTCAATTCTAGCTACATTGGTGGCACAAGCTCCCTCTTCCTCCTCCTGAGAAGAAAAGGCTGGAGTCTCAGGAAACCTGGCACTTTCAGAAGAACACCGCATTTCAACTGAGGAACGTCGCACAGTCGCACTTTCGTTGCAAGAGCTGTCTGCCCCTTCCACGTCACTCTCCCCTTCTGGCCGAGTACTAGCCTCACTGACGCTTTCCGTGCGAGCAGGATCACTCTGCTCCGTTTCTGATGACATCTGGGAAGGTTCGGACCCTTGATCAGTGGATTCCATTTCACTAACGCCCCTTCTGCTCCCAGCAGCAGCAGCAGCTCCTGTGTCCACACTGCTAGGAGGCTGCTCTGCCTCCTGAGCAGCACATGACTCGCTGCCAGCCTGGTCTGCCGGTGCTTCACTTTGAGAACCTTGCAGGCTTTCACCTCCTGCTGACTGTGATGGTGGAAGCTCTGGGAGAGTCTCCTGCTGGTCATCAGTTGATGGCAAAGGAGCTTCAGAGGCTGCAACATTTTCATTCTCTGCAGGCCCTTGCACTGCCTGATCTGATGAGTAACTTAAACCACTTCTTTCAACATTTCTTGTAGCACCATTAAGCATTACTAAACCACCATCGTCTTCCAAGGAAGATGGAAAACCCAGGTCTTGATGTAGCTCATGCTCCTCTTCATCTGAGTCAATGTGAAGCATAGCATTAAGTCTTGTGTCAGTAGGGAAGCTACTCCTCAGTTTTGGGGAGGCTCCACGTGGACGCTCACCACAGGCAGACGTCCCAGTTCTGGGATGATTGTTGTGTTCTATTGCATCCAGATAGTCATTTAGTGAGTCCTGGCGACCTCTGGTAGGTGATGATCTTGAAGCACCGGAGGTCAACTCATCCTGGTCTGTTTCCAGGGTTGTACTAGTCCTTAAAGGGCGTCTCAGGATTGCTTCTCCAGAAGATTCCTCAAGGACTGGACCATTGGAACACACTGTGGATGTATCATGATGTCCTGCTGGCATGTCCTCATCATCAGAGGGGCTCCCCAAGTCTCCATTTACAGAATTCACTCCTAGCAAAGTGCCAACTGTTTCTGGTGAAGCGTCTGCAGAGACACAAAGACTGAACGTGAAACACAATGCAGCAACAGACAGTACATTCTACTTTGTCTGCACCACAGAAGTGATATAAAAATACACATCTCTCAAGATGTTTGCTTATTTCAATCGGACAGTAAAGCCAAGAAAATACAATTAAAACAACAGAGGCATGTACAGTGTTATAACAGCAAGTACAGAATTTTCTCTGTGTAAGTCTATACTATTTTGTAGGATACAGAAAATTTAATGGATGTGAAGTATGACTTCAAAGGACTCTCATTTTGCTTTTAAAAGACAAAGCACTGCCAAGCATCTTACCAAACTGTCAGTAAAACCAGCCTCACAACCAAGGAACCAGTGCTCTACAGCGTATCTCTCATATCCAAAAAGTAGGATTTACACAAAGCCCATCAGTGACACCAGTTGCCGTTACATCCTTAGCAGCATGCAAACCAGCATCTGAGATCACATGAGGGATCACAGATTGTGTACAGATATCGAATTTTATGCACAACATTTATTTTTGAGTTAATTTATAGGACTTTCCATTGTAAAGAATGGGAACCTACTTAAGTAAAGTTCATGAGATATCAGTTATGCTATGGTAATACATATAAAAGGGAAATTAAAATAAGCCATCTCACTTGAGAGATGAGATGGTAACTCCACACATGGAAATTAAACAGGCATAGAGTTGAATAATCCAGCTATAAATGTCTGTACACGTCTACAAGAAACCTAACAGTGAAGTCAGTGGACTAGAGTGCCTGGCAACAAACAGGACTGAAGACAGAAGCATTTTTTTAATGGTGCCAGAGCAAAAATATTAATGAGATACAGGACTACATGGCTATGGAAAAGGCAAGAATGTTGTATCAAGTTAAAAGACAGAGCAATATCTCACTACCAAAGTGATTATATGAAGTCTAACGAAGGAGAATCTAAGATCATAAACAGGTAAACAGACACATATGATGTGGCAGACACATAACTGTACTAGCCATGTTCTGCTAGTTGCCTTCAGAACAGGAAAAAAGGGAAATAAAAGAATTGCCTAATGGAAGCATGTATTCTCATAACCATAACAGATATTCTTGGTTCTAAGCAGGACACAGTTCTGTGAAAGGGGAACAGGACAGAGTGATCTGCATGTACACCAGCAGGGGATGAGAGCACAGGTGGAATCTTACTTGCAACTGCTTACCTCAGCCAAAGGTGTTACAAAGCAAAGATGTTACAGTGTGAAGAGAAACAATGACTTTGATTACCCAAATACCATAAAATGAGAATCATAAGCAGATTCATTTAAAAATCTATCTAACAAAATAGGAAAACAATACGGTAAGTGTTGGTGTTTTGGAATTACCATCTCCAAAGCAGTACCTGACATACCTAAACTTTGAATTCCAATAGAAAAATCTATAATAGAGGCACCGTACACAAATGAGAAAGTACATTACCACAGAAAATCCTAGAAATTGAAATACATAACAACTCTCTCCATACAACTATCTGGAGATCCAGATCATTGACAAATTCTCACCTTCGTGAACAGAAGATGTGATTTCCACTTTGAACTGGAGATATCCACTTACGTGATCAGCTGGGAGCCTTCTGCCAAGATTATAGCTGAGAACCTGGTCTCTGCAAAAACAAAGATATTGGGTTCTTTAAAATTTTAACTGTTTTTATTTTTCAGTATTTTGTATCAGAGGCTCTTATCAGATAACAATCAGCATGATAGAAAGTAATTTCCGTTACAATCCTAAAATCGGCCACATACTCTGGCTTGTATGGCAAAGTACAAACACCAACAATGGTGTAAAATACCTTTCGTTAACAGATAAAACAGCCTAACAAACTACTTTTGATCATTTCCAAATACATATTGTGCCCCAGCAATTCTTAGACAGTTATAAATCTCAAGTCCTAAAGAAATCAAACTGCAAAGGATTCCCTTCCCCTAACCTCCTCCTTCCCCCAACCCAAGTATGTTTTCTAATTAACAAAACCTTTAATTTTTTAAAACCTTCTGCCCCCTTGTGGTTTTTGCCATATACAAAATTCCCAGATTCTTCACATTTTAGTTCTCATTCAATAAAGTACTTCTGCATTCCTGTTTAGAAAAGCTATTAATGCTTGGATTTAACTTCAAATATGTTCTTAAGAGTTATTGAATTCAGAGGGACTCAGACTTGATTAAGCACTTGTATCAGCTTGAGACTTAGGATCAGATCCTAGGCCATACATTCTTATTAGGCACAGCCAGAACTCACAGCCCCAGCTCCCCTCAGTGCAGCTGGGACAGCTAAAGGGTGAGGAGGGAGCTACTGAAGACCTCCACAGGAAATTATTGTTATTTATGGAAATAAATTTATATTGGTATAAATGCCTCTCCTTTACTGGGAGCACTCCCACTGCAATATGAGTGACAGACTAAAACAAATGCAAGGTCATTACTGAAATAAGCTGCAGCAGTTTGCATCCAAACATTAACTTCCAGCAAAAAAGTCCCGAGTGAACAACGTAAGGCAAAGCAGCCTCCCCACATTGCTCTATAGGCTGCAGTACATCAAATTACGATAGTAGTGTCTCCAGGATCCATCACAGATTCATCGCTCTGTACTCCAACTACAATTCTTCAGCTAGACTTGGGGGGTATCCTGAGAAGTTTGCCATTTAAGGTTTCCACAATTTTTACATGAAGTTTATATTACTCTAGGCCACTCAAGATTAGAGAAAGCCACAATGTGAATAATGTCTGCTCTGTATTCAGTTGAATCAATACTAGATGATTCTCATGCTCATTTATCATGTTTTCCATGAAATTTAAAGTCACTAGCCATTTTGTTACATAAACTTGTGAGCTATGATGACAGCTAAAAGTGGGGCAGAATTTTAGTTCAGTCTGTCTAAAATGGCTGGTTCTAAACTTCACCTTTTCATTTATTAATACTGATCATTAACACAGGGAAAGGCAAGTTAAGCATATGGTGTACTGTAAGTCCTTGGACTTCGTACATGTAATTTTTCAAGTTCACATCTTAACCCAGTAGAGGATTTTGATTGTCCTTGACATCATGAAAATGAAGAAGAAAGTGAAGATGTTTTACTTGCTTGATCAAAAACAAAATAGAAGAGAATTTGCAGTTGATTGTATGTTTGGTACATTTCTACTTCATGTCTATATTAACCACTCCTTTACTTTGCAAAACATCTGGTGAAAAGTTGTCTGTCTTTACCATGTCTTGGAAAAAGAAACCCTGACAACTGATTGGCACGCAAAAAACGTAAATGGACAAAGAAATTACAGATGAAGAGGCAAAACTCATTTAACGTCAGTTCTAACAGCAGTATGGCAAAACAAAACTAAATACTTACCTATATTCTTGCTACACATTTGTTATACAGCCCTTCCTTTCCTAAAAAGATTTGATATATCAAATATACAAAACTGAAATATGGAGAAGAAAACAGGAAACATCTTCCAGAATACTGGTTTGAAAAAACATAGACAAGAACTGATGAACACAGCAAACGGGTAACTTCCAGACCTCACAGCACTAGGAATCCCAGAGCAGAAAAACATTTTGGGGTTTAGCATGGAAATGAAGACCCTGAACCAGGTTTTGAAACCACTCTGTATCACAGTGCTATTTTTGAGTATATACCGGTGTGCAAATTTATTAGAAAAAGCTGCTTGCTCAACTTATCACAATTTGTTGAAACTCAAAGATGAAGCATTTCTTAGAAAAGTTGGATTTACATACACCTGAACTGCTCTTGGATACCACTACAAAACAAATGGGCAGGCTTTTTTTTCTTTTTTTTTTTTTTAAAGAAATTTTCTATCAGAAGACATCATCAAAATTTTAAGCTGCTCTTACAATTTTATTCTTACCTTACTTACCAGTGTAACCACCACTTTGGAAACTTAAAGCTGAAAACTGTTTTCAAATTGAATTTGATTTTCTCCATTTATGCAACTTGTTACTTTGATGGGAATATCTGTGAAAAAGGAGGCCAGTCGTTTATATCCTGCTTTTTGTGCAAAAGCGTGATCATACTGCCATGCCCTTAAACTTTCAGGGAAGAATATACACATTTTATTTCACCATCATTCCTCATGGGCCTCATCTGGTGGCCTTCTAAAGTTAATGTAGGCACATTAACTTTAGCAGACTTTGAGTTAGGTCCTATACAAAATACATGTGAATAATTCAGTTCCTCCCATTGTCTTTCAAGGAATTATTTTTTCTAATTTGTCAAATATAGCATATATATGTAAAAAGATGTTAACAAAATAATATACTCTACATACTACTCTGTCTTAAATGTAAAATTGTATTTTTGCACATACTGCTGCATCTCTTGCAGACCTCCAGCCATTTGCTTCACACCTGCAATTTATCACAGTGCTTAATTACCAAGTCTCAGGCTCTTCTCAGTGCATATGTTTGTATGAAGGCCTCACTGGATCATCCACTTGACTATGCTATGGTCCCTTCCAGTAACCATCATGAAGTATAAAACATCTTAAAAGTTTCTAAGTGACTTGCATCTTTATACCAGAACAGTTAGCTATCAAAAAATGAACAGAAATTTTTAAAATTAGTACAACAGGTGAATTTTCAGTCCCTTCAGTGCACTATTCATAGCAAAAGGCAATTTTAACATCATAGTAGCACCAGCACTCTGAAAAATAAGGAGTCACAGCCTTGCAGTTCTGGCCAATTAGCTGAACAGGTATTAAATCTCTGATTATTAAACTGACAATAAAAATACTTGAACTGTAAAAGAAGTGAGACAATAAAATCTGCTTCTTCTAAAAAATTTGCACACAATCATGTAGTATTGTGATAATGCCCTCCTTCTTGACTACCTAGCCAGAGGGTGAACATTTTTTTGTGAGGGTAACACTTTTTGCGTAAAGAAATTAAGCTGAAAACAAATTATAGACACACATATACACAAACATGGGTACATGCATTCAGAACAGGGTCAGAAACACCGACATCTACCAGTCAGGCAATAAGGCTATTAAAATGCCTACTAAATTGCTTACTACAGATGCAGTAGAAATTTGCTGTTCTATGACAGTAAGCCAGAAAGGCTGCTCTGCGCCAGCATCCTAGATGCTGAGTCTCCCTGATCAATGGAAGTAAGCATTAAGAATGTATTAATTTACCCAATCGCATGTCTCTCCAACAGTCTCTGAACTGGTATGGTTAACTTCCCAAGAAAGCGCTTGATGATCGGACGACTCTTGGCAAATTTGTCTTTAACCTCAATTTCCAGGACATCTGTTAGAAGTGCAACAAAAGAATATTTCTGGAAGGAAAGAACATATTTGACACCATATCAATACACCTTTATTCAGAAAGTATGTACATAATTACTACTAGCGTGCAGTGAACTCTGAAAGCAATGATTGATGACAGCAGTTTCCATATTGCAAAATAACATCAACATAATTTATAAAGCACTGTATCTTTGTGTATGTAAATAGCCTCTCCAGAAACCCTTACCCTTTTACTGTTCCTTGAAAAATAATTGCTCAGTAAGAAATTGCACTAGATAAAAGCACTTTCATGGTCTACATCAGAAAGGAGAAAGCAATGTATCCTAGTGCTTGCTTCGATTTGGTTAGCAGAAAGCAAGAAGATAAGGTATCCTTGCTGTACTCTACGAGGTTACAGAAGAGTAGCCAGGTCAACACAGGAGGAAGGAGGAAAGTGTCTCACTCTAGGCTGTGCTTAGTGAACTTCCCTTCCAACACCATGCTTTGCATTTTTTTTTTTCAGGCATGACAGGAAGTCAAAAGGGCAATGTGTACGCAGTATTTTCAGGAGCACTGTAACTAAAGAAGGAGAATTTTCTATAGATTTTTGCCCCAAAGTTCACAAATCTTCTCAGCAAGTTCCAACAGAACCTTTTTCTGCACTTGGGGCCTTTAAATGACATGATACTAATTTATAAAAGGTTTCTTGATGTCTGGTAAGATCATTCTTCCACCTTTCCCTATAAGGGAACACCATCATAGTTACTCTCTTCAGACTAGCATCAATTTTCAGGCAGTTTATGAATACTTCATCTTTGAGATCTGTGCTGCTCTGTCAAGTCTGCCTGATGATGTCCAAAAGATTCAAAAATTGTACAGGGCAAATATATGAGCAGGCATGTTGGCAGACACACACACGTACACACAGTGTGATAACAAATTCCCTTAAGAAAGCAAGCTTAGGAACTGAAAATTTTTATTTTTCTTCTAGATTGTAAGATATTTCAAACAAACAAACAAAAAGGTATGGTATAACCTACTCAGAAAAGCCAGGGTCATCTAGTTATACCTTTACTATCTGCCATCTTTAAGACCTCTCAGCAAATCACAGTACGATGCCCAATACACATCTGGCTAGATAGCTAAAGGTGTATTGAACAAGGAACAAAAGAAGGAACAACTCTTCAGTTCAGCTGTAGACATCAGCTAAATATATTCAAAACCAGCAATTAAACTGGGTCAGGATTAAAAACACTTCCTCATGCTAGGCAACTGTTGGAGCTGGGTTCCTGCGATAAACAGAACTTAAAGATTTGTCACTCTCAGTTTGCTATAAAATTGCAAATTATTTTGCAGAAAGGAGTAGATGTAAAACAGGATCCATTCTGCACCAGTAGGACAGCATATGTAATGGGATCATAAGCTGCTGTCGTCAGAGCATTGCTACAGGGAAGATAACAGCAGCTAAAGCAAGCTGATACAATGCGTGCACCAGGGAACATCATCACTTTTCTAGTAAGCTTCGAAACCAGGGAGAACTGGAGGAGTAAAAAGGGGAAAAATAAGAGTAGATTTTCTTTCTATCTACTAGATAGATGGATGGACAGACAGAAAGATGAAGAATCAATTTAGAGATTAGAACTCTGATTTTTTTTTTAAGATTTTAAGACTTCCACACATCTACAGTCTTTCCCACAACCAAGCACCCCTAAGCAGTGCTAATGCTGGCCCTTCTCTGTTCTGTTTTACTGCTTGTTTGGTTTGATTGTGATTTGTGGGAACATTTTCCAAAGCCCACTGAATTTTCCAGTTTTCCTAAAGAACTCATTAACAATCATCAAGCACAGTACAGGCATCTGCTCATTAGAAAACAGGCACAGATCAAGAATGCTGCTCGCCGGTCCTGAAAGCGTTATGGACTTATGTCAGTATTTGCACCTTGTTTCCCACATAAACATTTATTTTCAAAAACACAGCCTGGCTCTTCTGTGCTCAAAGACAGTTGTGGGACTGAGTTCCTTCTCCGAGACCTGCACAGCTTACCCAATATAAACACATCTAGAAAACTGGCTTCTGCCAAAATGCCTTTTTTTCCCTCTTGCTGAGTGGTGCTGTAATGCCTCCCTGGGCTTTCCTTCTTACAGCAGTGCATACAGAGGCTACACCAAAGAGCATCCCCTCTGCCTGACAAAACTGAAAGCTTGCCACCTGCTATGCACAATAAGAATATCATTTCCAAATGAACAGTTGCAATCACTGAGCATAAATGCTCACTTACTGTACCTTTTCTTAAAGAGTCCTCTCACAACATATAATCCATTTTAATTAATTTATTTTTGCAATTTCAAGAAATCTACAGGGCTGTTGAGCAAGTTCAACTCTTGTTAGCAGAGAAGGGAATGAAAACCTCACAGCAGTGCATCTTCAATACACAGCTTAAATACGTAGATGATAGCTGTTTCTATCCAACAACAGGGTTCCTAAAATTACTACAATTTCTGTGTCAGTTTAAATAACTAGCTATAAAATAAGCTCACAGCCTTCAGAGAGTAAGGACTAATGCATAAAGAGAAAATACGAGCCTGGTACACGGCATCAGCTGGCAGACAGCTCTGAAAACGGATACATTACCTCTCTGTGCCAAACAGGATTAGTTGTGTTACTGATGATAGTCGACCTTCTTTCCTGGCCATGATGAGCAAATGTAGGAAACGTACTTTTCTTGCCTGGCTGAATGGACATCTTTAGATAAGGATCAGGGTTGAAGAACATGCCTTTTTTAAGTCCAACTGCTCTAATATCTATAAAGCAAAACAAGAAGGAAGGAAAAAGGAATTGAGTAAATTAAAGCTAGTTCACAAAGTAGTGCATTCCTAAAATATTACGCAGGAAATCAGTTCACCATAAACTACTAAATAAAGCAACTTAAAATTACTCATATGTTAACTGGATCCAGCGTACAGAACATACTTAAAGCAGGAAGTCAAGTGTTTTCCCAAGAGACTATAGGAAAGAAAGGTATAAACATCCTCATTTACATTTTAGCCTCCAGCCATTTGTAAAACAAAAAGGATGAACTTCTAGCTCACCTACAAATGTTTTTCTCAGTATGTAAGGTATTTCCACTCTTAAAAAGAAAAAACAAAAAACACAAAAAAAAGGTCACACAGTACTTGCTCCGTTTCTGGGTAAGGGGAAGGGACTAATATAAAAAACTGTATGGGACGTAATATAGTGAACTCACGCTTTCCCAAAGTTGAGACTTTGATAAATGTAATTTCAAATACTCATTACCAGGGCTGCTCTGGACTATGATGTACACTTTCTCCCAACTTAGAAGAAGATACCCTATTCACATAAAAGGAGGCAAAGTTTTCTGAAAATGCTTCTTTCTTCCTAGGGAAGCCTCAGTACTGCAGCCCTTGCGACTTGCAACAATAATTTCCTCAGGTGCATATTCTCATGCCTAAGGACTTTAATGATAGCACAAGCTTAAAAAACAACAAAAAGAGGTATTTTTTATATAACATTAGATTTTAAACTTAACTGTAAATTATTTCTCTGTTTAGGTTTGCTGAAGCATGAGATTTTTGTGTCTTTCTTCATTAGGTACTCCAATATGCTGCATGCAGACTTCATGACTCTAATGCAACTGGCACGTACATACTTAGATAAGCAGTTTATACATGCAGGCAAAATTCACTGCGCTAAAATGAAATGCCCCACCTGTGGATTCAGTAAAAAAAAAATCCTACCCAATGTTCAAAATTAAGCCACACAGTAGAAATACTATGAAATAAAGGGTAATTGCCTTTAAAAGCAACAACTTTGCATGTGCACGTGAGCAACCAAAAAAATGTTCTGGGAAATATGTTACAGACCTATCAGTCAATACACCTTTCAAAATTAATTTAGGGGACTCCTCTGGCTGAGTCACAACCTTCCATTAAACACAACAGATTTTTCAGAATTCACAAAACAATTATTTTTATAGTACCCTATGTGAGTCTATACAACCTATCAGCTCTATCCCAGATACCTGCTGAAAGACCGTTTCAAAAAGTGGGGGTTTTTTCTGCTCTACTCCTACAATCTCTAAATGTTTTCATTGTCAGCTCTTCAAGATTCAGAAGCAAATTTTTTCTGTCTTTGCTCAAGCTGAATATGCGTTAGTCTCACACAAGACTTCCCATGGAATAATGTGCTAATCAAAACAAGTGAAGCTGGTAGACTGTACCCCTACAGCTATTTTGCTGTAGTGACAGCTTAGCTCTCTTACAAGTAAAGATTTTTTTCCTTTCTAAACCACCATTTGCAGCCATTGCTTTTTTACTGCTTCAACGTGATGGAACCAGCTTGCATTTTATTTAGTGGCTAAGTTCTCCACTCTTCAGTCTGACAGAAACTGTCCTTTGTGCAAACTGGAAATTTCTCCAAATTTTTCGTGCTGGGATCCATCACATCCATTTCTTTCACTCCTGGAGATTCATGATTCTGCCTTGTTTTCAACAAACAGAAGTTCTAAAGAAATGACATCTTTCAAGCCACTAGAGTGTGCTCCTACAGAGGCTAATGAAGAAAAGTGTTCCATCTTTGATGTTACTTAAAACAGCGATTATTTTTTTTAACAGTAATTTGTAAAACACAGAGTAGTGTTGTTCTTTACCTGATAGGGTAAAGCTGACTAACTTCCTAGAGTGCTGGGCTCCAGAAGCACCTTCATCCACACCTTCTACTCCCATCTGAAGAGGAGAAAAAAAATGAAATATATCACAGAAGTTTTCATCTGCTTTGTACATGCTTGAGGATGATAATGCAACTGTAAGGTAGCATGCAGGGGAAGAATCTGGCCAACTACTGTCTATTACCACAGACAGGCAGAGCTACAGCATTTGTTTCTAGGAAAATATCTATTATTTATGCCACACAGTGTTAATACACCAGTACTTGGAATCTTCCAAACAGAACATGTATAGGCTAATACACATGCAGACACTATTAGTCAGAGAAAAGGAGACTGTATTTTCTTACAGGTTTCCCTTTTGTAGAGTAAAATCAACAGTGTGGATTGGTTATGCATACCAAAGCACTGAGCTGGCCAGTGACAGCATGTGTAACTTTTGTCACCTTCCACAAATAGATAATTTACCGCACAACAAAAAAAGCAAAGAGATCAAAGAGAGACTAACAAAAGCCTTCAGATCTATGAACAAAAGCTCCTTTTAAACAGAAAAAGTGCACCAGATATCTAAATATGGATGTGGTCTAAAAGCTTATGCTTCACAGATTTTTCAGGTTTGGTTTCTACTGAAAACCCTCATTAGGTAAAGCACTACTTCAAAATAAGAAGTTTCTCTTGTGTTAATGTCTTATTAATGTCTAGCTCTTTCAACTAGCAGAAGAATTTGTCTTTCAGGACAGGGGTGTGCATCCACCTGAATAATCTACCATGCAGACATCAGTGGAGCTATCTTTGAAGTCAAATGGTTCTCCAGATAGGTGCTGCACTCACTCCCTGGCAGAAGAGGTGACACAGCCTCATGAATAAGCTTGAGCCAAACACAGCGCTGGGGATTAATACTAGTGATAGAACAGAAAGTCATCTCATCTATCGAGCAACAACAAAAATAACATGAATAAAAACTCGCACACCTATGTGTGTGGATGAAGTATGTAAACCAGTTTTGAGCAGCTGAACAGGTGTTTGAAGTTACTGGATTGATAAACGATTCTGGAGCTGTGGTAGCCATGAGGAACCTGCTTTGATTAACCAGAAACGAAATAATTCCTTTTTATATTGCTTCAAGCTATTTAATATCATTAGCTTTCAAATGTTTCCTAGAACGATCAGCAAGCACACTGGAAATTTCATCGGAATTAGCAAACACACAGAATTTCTCCCGTTGCAAAACAGGAATACTTCATATGTGACAAGCAGTCAAAGAGAGTGATGAAGAAATAGCAATGACGTTGATACCTGACATCCCCATGGGCCTCAGCGGTCTTGTGAGGGAACACGCCGTGCCAGCAAGCGCCGCCGCTCACCAGTCAGCCCATTCCCCTCCCTCACGGCTGGCTTCACGATGCAGCCCCATCCTCAGGGCAAGACATTTCTCACCAGAGTGCTCAAAACTGTCCCTTTCCCACCCAGCATGACACCAATACGCCAGTGACTTTATGTGGACACGTAAGCAGGGACAGCTCGTAGTAAAATTATGAGGGCATCAAAAGCAATGGGTTAATTCCAGCTGAATCAGTGTCCCCTCATCTACAGACAGAGATTCCCTGGAAGCAGCAAGGGGTGCATCCCCCTGGGATGGTGACGCTGCCCAGGCAAGGCCGGAGGAACGCCATGTATTCCAGTTTACGCTTTTGGGCTTATTCTAACATGCAGCTTATTCATCAACAAAAAGGCCTTCCTCATTGTATACCTGTTTTCCTGCTACACCACCGACTCTGTTGTTTACACTGCTAATCACTACTTCATTTTATAGAAAATAGGATTTGCCCACAATTCAGCTACAATAAAATGAATTGTAACAGTGTTCCCTAGCACTTCCATGGTTTCGCTATATAGCCTTTTCCTGTTCCATTATGACCTGAACAGCAATTTCAATTTTTCTGTGCCAAGTACAAAATTTCATCCCATCATACATGCTTAGCCTTTGTAGTGCAAAAATCTAATCTCATCTGGTGTAATGCAGTGTTTCTGAATGCTAGATCAGGCTTCGTATTTCCACTAGTTCAAATGAACACAACAGAATGTTAGTTGCTTATCTAAAAATGATGGACTGAAATGCCTGGTGTGGTATGCCATCAGTATGTGGAAAACCAGGAACATGTCTCCCACCAAACCACGTAAAGCGAAAATGCAGAATGATCCAAGTAAGCAAGTAATTTATTGCAGCTTAAAAAACGGGAGCGGGCATGCCATGATTCTCTTACCATTTCCACGAACAAGCATTTCTGTAACAACAGACGTGACCAGTGCCAAGACAACAAAGTATTCTCTTCTGCACAGTGCTTAAGCTCCACACCAAAACCATGAAAATGGTGTGAGGTATTAACATTTAACAATAGGTATAGTTACACATACCTAACCCAATACGGTATTTTTAGGAAGTCTCATCTGAGCTGTCATATGACATTCTCATCAAGGAAACTAACAGCTCACTACTACTGAAGTCTGTACTGTTAGAGCAAACAAAAATGTTTATATAAAATTACACCTTCTAGCAGGTGTGTAACCCAGGACCCTGCATTACCTTTCAAAGGAAAGAAATTTAAATAGTGACAGCTGGTTAATCCCTCAAGATTGACCAATGGCTCTGAAAGACAGGTCTTCAGGTAGCTACCAAGTAAATAAATGCATATTCAAAGACAGAAGTTCAGACGTCCTTTTGCACAATGAACCTCAAAAATATTGGTGGATAGTATGACAAGGCCAAGAAAACACACAAGTTCACGTGGTTTCTCCACCAATAAAATCATTCCTATTCTCAGTAATGATACAGTGCAGCACATAGCCCATTTTAAGGGTTATTTTAAGAAACATTTTTTCCTTTGTTCAAAATCAGGCTACCTTACTGTCTTGAATTTATAAATTGATATTAAAGACCGTGGCTGTCAAGCTCATCAACTGCAACGCATTTTCTTCTGTAAAATATCAAGAGTCCATATGCCTGCTGCGAAACAATATTATTCAATTAAATGATGCTATCACTTAGGCCTGTAATTCTAAGAGAAAGGAAAAACATTTGGTATAATGAGATATAAAGTCTAGTACAGCACATATAGTATCCTATAGCCATAGAATGCATTTGTATATAATATACAATGCTGAAAAAGTGCAGGATTGGAATAAAAGCTATTCAGTCTGAGTAACTTATGTATCTTCAACATCGCAGTTGTCAGGACACCATCCTGACAGATGTGATCTTAAATATTTGGAAGCTAATATCAATGAATCAAATGCACTGTGAAACTTCATGTCAACTGAAGAGCTAGCCTGTTAGACAAATTACTTCGATCAAAAGCACCTGGATACAAGTTTGGAAGGCTCTTCTTCCACTACTTACTTAAATAACTAAAAAAAAACCTCTAAAACTTGTAGTGTTTCAAAAGAACAAGTCTCGTAATGAAAGCATAGTAAGGTAACAATAATCCTCAATAGTCACAGAATTACTAAATTTCAATGGTATATGAACACTCAAAAAATTCAGTAATTTTTGCAAGAGCAGAGTTTTGTCCAGTTTCATTTTTATACTAACAATTGCTATCTCAGCAATAATTTCATTTTTAATATGAACAAATAAGAAGAAATGGAGGCTTTTGATAAGGATTCTATTTCAGTTATATAAGCAGTGTGAAAAATTTCTATTATGGTATTAAATTACAGCAAATTGTAAGCCTCAAAATTGAAAGCAAGCAAAATCAAATTCTTAGCATAAAAAATTTAAGTTAAGCTCAGTGAATTTTTACTGTTATTTTATCAAGAACAACACAAAGCCATGAAAAGCATTTCCCAATTTTGGTGATTTTTGTCAGACAATATGAATTTTTGCAAAAAATTGCACTCAATGGTAAAACTAGGATACTTACATTGATAGGTTTGTCTCACAGTTAATATTATGATCTTATATAAATACATTGAACAAATAGGCTAAGCTTACCATCACAGCAGGGTTTTTCACAGTGATACATGGAGTAGTAGCTCGGAGGGCTCCACTAACACCATGGTAGTATTTAAAACAGATCTTTATTTCGGCTGAAAACAAAACAAAAATCGCATTAAACCCTTCATGACTGACCCTAGGCAAAAGAGAGACAATGAAAGGAACACATGCATATGGGGAGTCATAGTTCACTTCTGTTCACGGAGTCCGAGTCTGAGCAGTTAACTGGTATGTCTTCACTGTAAAAGCACACAGTAACTGTAACTGAAATGTATTTTTCTCTCAACCTGTAGAAAAATGGAAACCTGTCTCAAAGAAGGCCTGAGTAGAGGTTTTAGCTAAAGAGCTGGTAAATGCTGCCTTTTTTTTTTTTTAATTCTAACTAGATTTCTACTCAGTCAGTAAAAAACAACAGCTCGTTTTTCCCAGTTCTTGCAGTGAGATGTCCATGGTCACTATTGGGTAAGAAAGGTCTAAGTATTCGCAAGCCACTGTTCACACAAAGCCACTTTTGTACGTTTTGTAAGGATCCAGAGGGAAGGAAATGAGATCAGTATTGATCTCTAAAGACAAGTCCATTTCAACATAATAGGGTCAATGAGAATTATTATTTTCCAGCAGATTTTTAAGTTGCAAATAAAAAAAAAAATTACACATATGTTCTATTCTTAGAGTCTTTAATCATATGAAAACAAAGACCTCTCTCTACAGCCTTATATACATAGGTGGATTTCAAACCACCTATGAAAATGTTTAAAAGTACTACATCTTGTATTGACTCCTGTAGATCCCAACTAATAAGATTTCCCTTTCTGTGTGACCTTTCAAAGTTTTTACTATCATTGAGTATGCCAAACAAAAAATACCCCCGATGCTGGTAAAATAAAACACAGACACAACTTGAGAATGAGATAAAATACCATAAACTCTTAAAGTTTGGGCATTAGCCCTACAGGTATTCTGACATTCTGGTAGGAGTGGAGATGTTAGTATGGCTGAACATGGTGGAAAGCTAACAATATGCTGTTCAGTGTACTCCTGAAAACTCATTCTGTACAAGTAGGATCCATCATTCAGTGATCTGTCTTCAGAAATACTTCAACAGGAAATTAAGCATAGAGAGCAGCTGGTTATCTCCTCTTTGTGTGTTGGGTCCTTCTGTTACTTAACAGACAAAAAAAGTAACTTACCTAATTCTGCAGCTTGTATTTCTGCTACTATTTCAATATAATCAGCTATGAAAAAGGCTTACCGAGACATTTGCTACTAGGATGATTCCTGTCAGACTTGGAAGAAGTTGCATGACGCATATCTGACTGAAACTTGAAGCGCTTTATATTGGAACATGGGAAAAGTAAAGGTTGCACCGTGTTTCTAGTCCCACTGAATAAAGTTTTGTTTGCTAAACTGCATTTACTGCAAACAAAAGAGTATTATGTTTAACAAGGCCTGACCTCCACTGTTGTTCCTCTGCATTCTTCCAACCCAGCAGAACAGCTATAATTATGGCTACCCTTGATCCTGTGGGATTTTCCCCTATTTGGAACAATATCTCTGTTTTCCTTCTCTGTTGGGATAATTCTTCTGTGTGAGGTTGATGAGGGTTTACCTCTGGGTACAAAAATGGCCACAAGCAGGCAGAAATTACAGCAGCCAGTTCAGACAGACCAGAGGATGTGGATGAAAGTCTTGGCAGTTCAATTCCTTTGACTTGGTTTAACAGTCTGTCGGTAGTCCCAAAGTACAAAAGTACAATGCTTTGTATAAGGTTTTGAGACACATACGGCATGATTCCTTGAGGGCTGAGGTATTTCATCACTGCAAGATAAAATACCCACTTATCCCTACTCAGAAGGATCAGAAATCCATCCCGCAAGCCTGCTCAGCCAGAAAGGATTATTTATTTATTTATTTTTAAATTTGCTGCAGTTATGGGTCAACACTTATCTACTACCTTCCTCCCAGAACAAAGAGGAGGCACCTCAGAACTACCCTTCAAAGGGAAACGTCTGGCTGACAGTGCCTCCAGGGACTTACGAGGTGGAGGAGCTGCTGATCCCGCTTCCTCCTCCTCACAGCTGAGGTCACACACACAGCCAAAACACGCTCTATTTACCATAAGCTTTACAGCAAAATTCAAAATGCAGACAGGATTTCTAATCACCTACAAAGGCTTATCAGACCCAAAAATTAAGGGTCAGGACCTGCAGGTTTTTCCTAAACTAAGCAATTCTATTGACCTACCAACAATGCTTATATCCAAATGGACACACAAGAATTTCTAGCTCACATAAAACTGGAGTTTCAGCACTTGCGGAAGTTGGCAGGATATATACCTCTCCACACTGCAAAATGCACACATTAAGTAACCAGGACTCAAGTCCTGAGCATCTCTTAATCACACTGTGAACATACTATGACTACATGACAGTATGGTAAGACAGCTAACTATTCCACCAAGACTCTACTTTCCAGCTACATTGCCCAGCTTTACTGCAACCCAAACTTTATTTTTCAGAAAGTTTCTGGAGCTGCTGTTTCTTCAGTCTGTTGTCACTGACTACCTTCTCTCAATTCATCACTTCCAAAAAGAACCTAGCAACACAAAGGTTATCAGCTGCTGCTTCTATCCACTGACAGTCCATAACGTGATGGTGGACAGAAGTTTGTTATATATTCTCACTACACTGACATGTACATTCCCCTAAAGGCTGAAATGCAATGCTATGAGCTTTGCATCCTCAGATTTCTTTCTCTCAACGACTTCTACAAGCATACAGTACTTTTAAATACCTGTATGTAGCTGGTGATAGAAGAAAACAACGTTTGATTCAAGAAATAGACCTGATGATCCTTTTCATATAAAATAAAAATTAAAAAAAAAATCTTCAGGACTACTTGTTAGAAATAATTAGAAAAAGCAGAGCACTTAAAAACATGACATGGGGACTTTTTCTCCCAGTTCCCAACAGAAGCAGCATTGATTTATTTTGCGCTTTACACAGCACTACATGGAGGAACAGCAGACCTGCTCTTAGCATTGTCTCAACAGGATTAACACAAGAGAAGCTGTGCTTAAAATTCAGCACAAAATTGAAAAATGGCCTACCCATCACATGCATGCAGATGTTGCCAAAATGAATAGCAGTTTGCAAGACTGGATCTTGTACATAGCAAGAAAACAATCCCTTCATAGGACCAGAGACAGCTAAGTAATTTTTTTCGTGGCTAATAATGCTAGAAACTGCAGTTAAGAGTAGAAGAAATCTCAGAGGAACCCTGTCAGTTCAAAACAGCTGAGGATCTAGTTTTTTGACATTTCTTGTACTGTATTATCAAAAAAATGTTGATTAGAATAGTTTTTTCTTGATGACTGATGGATTCCTGAGCTCCAGGTAAATTGAAAATAGGTATCATCTGTGGCTGTTCCTGATAGAACACATCTCAGCCTACTACCTATAACTAAGGCCCCATAAATACACAGACCTCTCCAAAAACAGTAAGTTCGATTATCTGCAAAAAAGTTGAGTTCAATAACCTATTCATACACAGGCTTCCTCTGAATTGTTCCATACTATAAACTGCACAATAGCATGTGTTACCTACAGAGTTTTCCCAGTTTCTTTAATTTCTCCTGCCACCTTGCTTTCATGTGTTTCGTTTAGGGGAAAACTTGCACTTCTCTTTTTCTTTCCTACTATTTCTTCCCTCAACAAGTTAATTAGCCAGCTTTGTATGTGATCTGTAATGAAAAAGTTAATAGCAGTAAATCCAGCATGGGAAAGACACCTGTACCTGACCACACGATTATCTGCTGTCTCATTAAAGAAAAATATGACATTTCAGAACAAAAAAGTACTTTCATTCATGGGGGAAAAAAATTACTGTACCTAGCTCTGTGTTCTTGATACCACACACACCCCATTGTCATTGACATTCCTCCAGACATCACACAGACTGCAAGAAATTCTTTCTTCATTTAAAAATAAGACACAAATGAAATTGGGGTATCTAAGATTCTTTAAAAGTTATCACACAGGCATATAAAAAGTGATATATATGTTAATTAATCTCAACACTCCATAAAACCATAATCCCCCTTCTTTAAAAGCCAATAGCTGTTATCATTTTATAACCATAGTCTTATAGCTCAGGTCCATTACATAAAAATATTGGAATTAACAAAGGTTTCTGGGACTCAAACATTGACATTTGAATTTCAAAGAACTCCTGCATGAAATTATAGCATTGTACTTCCCTCTACGGACCATACACTCTTGCCTCTTTAATAATAAAGAGATCATCTTACACCAAATAATAACTTGCTTTTAAAACATCACTAATTTCCCAAAGTCCCCCACTTTAACTACCTTTTTACTGCCTTTAGTACTTTAACTTTGCCCATCAAAAAACTGCTTTAGGATAGAAAGATACTCACAATACATAAACACTTGAACATAATTCTAGAAGAATGCAATCTTTCCAGGAGACTGATAATTCAGGAAAAGAAATGTGTTCACTGTAAGAACACATTGCTCCAGGTATACCCTAGTCAAATGAAATGCCGATATTAGAGCTGGAATCATTCCACACTCCATTGAGAAGGGATGGGCAGAGACACCTCCAAAAGACAAGTCAAATCCTAGTTGGGTTATAACAGTCTGTGGAGGTAAACAGTGCTCCTGGTTAACTGTATGGCAACTGCACAGCAGCTAATACTTCTGGACACCACAGCTAGGTGCCGGTAGTTACTTGGGCTGCAGATATAAGCATACGCCTTCCAACATTCAATGAGGAAAAAGGTGACATCACAAACTCATTTGAAAAATATGAAAGCATGTTCTGCGAAACTTACTTAAGAAAACTTTGTCACTAGAACAAATTAAGTCACTCGCATTCAGGCTTTACAAAGCTATAAAGGGAGATGCAATCTAGGGAAAAGGCACTGGGTTAAACCCTAATTTTTCCCAGCTGAACCCAAATACCTCATAGACAACCGCAGGAATTTAGAAGTGTTCTGCACATCCTGCCAGTTGAATTTGTTTTCCTTAGCATGAGAGTTCAGTGAACACAATCGTCTTGTTCGGACATT